ATCTCTTTCTGAAGGATGGTTATGCAAGACATGAGAGAATTGCTTGAAAGAACAGTCTGTGTGGGTCCTGCCTCAAATTTACAGCATCTGGAGGAGACGAGAAAGAAAGAGAAAAGCCTGCGGAGTAACACAGGGAGTGGGTGGAAGCTCTTAGAGATGAAAGGGAATAAAAACTGAAAGCAGGATCCCGAGGCCAACCCGCGTGAGTCAGGTCGAGTGATGAGCACTTGGGATGAGGCCATCGGAGTGACTGGCGAGCAGGAGAGTAAAAATAGCTGCCTTTGCTTTTCCTGAGACCTTGCTTCATCGCAGGCATCGCGAGGGCCCTGGAAGACCGCTCGCTAGTTCTGGTAAATGTCTGTATCACAGAAGCAGGCCATGGCCTCTGTTCTCTGCAGGCACCCACAAGCCTTGGGCCGCTGACTGGGCAGATGGGAGCGCTTGGCCTGGAGCCCATCCTTCGTCCGGGGCCGAGAGCACGGCAGCTCCTGAGTCCTGGCCAGAAACCCCAGATGTGCTCCTGCCTGCTGATAGGAAAACCCTAATACCCCTCTGGAGAGCTGAGCTGAAATCGCCATCTCTGCTCAGCCCTGATACAAATTAATAAGTCGCCCTAGAGTCAGGGGAAGAGAAGAAGCCAAAAGACACCCACAAATACACCGCATCTTCGGTAGGCCCTGCGTCCTGTTCGACAAACACAGGAAAGCCTGGCTCTGGAGGTCAGGTGGTCCCCACAGAGCATGAGTCATTCTGACTCCCCTCTGTTCTCCAGCAAGGCTTCTGGGCTTCTCCTCGCCTGTCACCGGGCTGCTCGGGAAATGCAAGTGAGGGTTCACTTAAGCAAGACATGCAGAGGAAGGGCAGTGGACCACCCAAGCCAACAGCCCAGGATAGCCATAGCTGACAAGGCAGCCCCAGGCCTGGGTCAGACGCGGTGCTTTCACTGATGGTCAGCAGGCCAGGTGGCTTCAGAGATGTTTTTTTAAAGCCTCAAGGTGATGCTTGCCTGTCTAGTTAGGGTGTGTTTGGAAGTTTGTGCTGCTTGTGTTCTTGAAGCTCAGTTACACTCTGAGCTCCTGACTGGTCAGTTACCGGTGTTGCCCGCTGTGCCCGTCAAGTCGGGTCCAGTGGCAGGACTGGCCTTCTGGCCCCCTTAGCAGCAGGGCATTGAGAAATGTGGGAAAGCTTATACCCGGGCGTAAATGTCTCCCACACTGATTTTTTTAATCAAGGGAAAAAAGTGCTCCAGGACCCACAGACTCAGAGGTGAGCAGGCAGCCGACAGCACAGGTCAGCCCCATGGGAGGTCCCACTTTTTGCTGTTGTTTAGTCGCTAAGTCGTATCCGACTCTTGCGACCCATGGACTGTAGCCTGCCGGGTTCCACTGTCCATGGGATTCTCCCAGGCAAGAATACTGGAATGGGTTGACATTTCCTTCTTCAGGGGATCTTCCTGACTCAGGGATCAAATCTGCATCTCCTGCACTGACAGGCGTATTTTTTTTTTTTTTTACCACGGAGCCAGCTGGGTCCCACTTTGGGGACCTTTAAAAATCTGAAAGCTGGGGCTTCCCTGGTGGCCCAGTGGTAAAGAATCTGCCTGCCAGTGCAGGAGACACAGGTTTGATCCCTGATCTGGGAAGATCCCACATGCCACAGGGCAACTAAGTCCACGTGTCACAACTACTGAGACAGTGCTCTAGAGCTGAGTTGCAACTAGAGAAAGCTCACATACAGCAACAAACACCCAGTGCAGACAAAAATAAATGAGTAAATAAATAAATCTTAAAAAATAAAATGCAGAGGATAATTAAAAAAAAAAAATCTGAAAGCTTTGGTTTCCTGACACATACCTGACCAGGACATGGTTATCGTCATTTCAGAGTAACAAACACATTAAGCTGTCAACGTGTTTACGGCCCAGGTGCTGACCCAGCTGTAGGGTATGAAATGGTGAGTGAAACAGGCATTCTCTCTGCTTCTGTTGGAGTGGGAGAGTAGAAAAGACCATCAGTTAGTCAGTCACCCCTTTGATGGGTTGTGTCTCACCAGGTCTTACACAACCAGAGTTGGGCGTGTGAGCCTGGGCAAGGTGATATGGCCCACTCACTTCTACTTTTATTTCAGAGATTAATGTTTTGATAATCTTTGGCTTTAGCATTCTTTGATTGGGGCAAGAGTCCTTCATGTCAAACTGCTAATTGAGAACAGAACTGTTGATAGAGGCACAGTATATTAGTTGATAAGTTTCACTCCCAACACCCAGCACACTAGGAGAGAGTTCTAGAAAGCATGGCTTTCTAGAAGGTCTGAAAGGTGTCACCTTCAGACTTTCATGCTCACCCACAACAGCACCTGCGTCTGCTTTCCTCAGCACCGCCCCCCCAAGCTGGTGCCAGCAGAAGCATTCACATGACCCCAAGCCTGAACACCTCTTTAAATTTTGCACCGTAGGCACCTTCCTTGCCTCGGCCAAGGCCCAGTCCTGGCAGCACCTAACGCTTCCTGAGGCCCAGGGCCCACAGAAAGACACACGTGGTCCCTGACCTTGGAGCCCTCACAGCTGAGCCAGGAGAGAGCAGCAGGGCAAGGTGGTGTGGCTGCTGCCCAGGTCAGCTACAGACCAGAGTTGCAGGAGCTCTCCAAGGTCTCAAAAAGGAACACAAAGGCAAGCTGAGATTTGAGCCCAGGCTTGGCATCGGGTGGAGTTTGGATAAGCTGCAAGGAAGTTCAGTTCAGCCACTTGGTTGAGTCTGACTCTTTGCGACCCCGTGGACTGCGGCACGCCAGCCTCCCTGTCCATCACCAACTCCCGGAGCTTGCTCAAACTCACATCCATCAAGTTGGTGATGTCATCCAACCATCTCATCCTCTGTTGTCCCCTTCTCCTCCCACCTTCAATCTTTCCCAGCACCAGCGGCAAGAAGGGGAACAGCGTCTTAGCCAAAGGAAAGAGAGGGGCTTCCCAGGTAGCTCAGTGGTAAAGAATCCGGATGCAGGAGATGAGGGTTTGATCCCTGGATCGGGAAGGTCCCCTGGAAGAGGAAACGGCACGCCACTCCAGTATTCCATGTGGGATAATCCCATGGACGGAGGAGCCTGGTGTGCTGCAGTTCATGGGGTTACAAAGAGTCGGACACGACTGAGAAGCTGCACGCGTGCGCAGAGGCTGGGTAGAGGCTTCGTAGTGAGAGGGAAACACGCCTTTGGGCCTGGATCTGGTTTCCGCGTGACCCTGGCGAGCTACCTAACCTCCCTGGGCCTCACTTCCAAGTTTGTTAGATGACTGCGCCATAACAAAAGGCTACTGTGTTGTAAGGTGGGGGTGGGGGAAGGGGGGGCTCAAGAAACTAGTCCTACAGTCGTTACTGCAAGTGAAGCAGGCAGTTCGAGGGGTGAGGATGGGGCCAGCGTGTCCAGGGTCACAGCCTGTCACATAGAACTAAAGAGGCAGTGAGCAGCCGATCAGCCCAGCTCCCTGCCGGCCTCCCACACTCTGCTGCCCTGAAAACAGATTCCCCTCCTTAGCACACACCTCACAGAGTACTTGGCAAGCAGGGTCCACCAGCCAGTCCTCAGCCTTACCCCTCTTTAGGGCAGTATGCCAAGGGGTGGGGAGCTATTGAGGAATCCGTATTGATTGCAGGCCCCACCCTAGCCAGGATCGTTGTAGTCTCACACCCGGCCCAGCCTCCTGGCTGGTGACTCAGCCTGCAGCCTCCGCACATTTGGTCCTCCACACCTGTAGTGGGCGAACTTCAGACTCCCTTGCTCACATTACTGCCCCCATCCAGGACAGCGGGTCTAGCCTGGGCTGCATTCGCTCAGTCGTGTCTGACTCTTTGTGACCCCATGGGTTGTATCCCACTGGACTCCTCTGTCCATGAAATTCTCCAGGCAAGAATACTGGAGTGAGTGGCCATTCCCTGCTCCGGGATCTTCCTGACTCAGATCGAACCTGGGTCTCTTGCACTGCAGGCAGATTCTTGACAGTCTGAGCCATGGTGGAAGGCCTTAAAATCCCGATGGCCAGGCCACACCCCAGACCAATTCTGTCAGATTCTCTGGGAGGTAGGACCTCCCTTCCCCACCCCTGCTCCTTAGCAGATGTGCAGACTAAACTGGGAACTACTGCAGTGGCCCCCCCTTGTGGACTTGGGGCCAAGGAGAGGGACTAGCCCTGCAGGGTGCAGTGTGATCCGTAGCGTGGCCATCTCCTGGATCTTGTTAGAAGTGCAGAAGAATCATAGGCCCAGCTGCTTGCAAATCTGCGTTTTTACCAGGTTCCCCGGTGATTCCTGCACACTGTCAAGTTGGAGAAGCACTGCCAGAGCTTCCACGAGACGATCCCAGGGGCCCATGTATGGGCCAGGTGTTTGTTTACACACGCCATCTCAGGTCAGCCTCACAGCCTCTCTGCTGTTATCCCTCCGACAAGCAAGGAAACACCCACCATTTGTTCAACAAATCCTTACTGAGCGCCCAGTAGGAGAGAAGCTCTGTTATCAGGGACTGGGGATCAAAAAACATGCTCCCCTGCAGATCAAGTGCTCAGATGCCAGTGGGGTATGACGTTCGCATCATCGCTTGACAGCTGTGTGTTCCTGGGCGACACCCTTGGCCTCTCTGAACTCGTTTCCTCTTCTGCTGATCTGGGCTGTGGTCCTGATTCAGTGAGGTTTTTCCCCTAGGCGGAGTGCTCACCAGAAGGCCCGGATCTAGCCTGAGTTCAAGGAAGGTTGCTATTGTTACAAGAGAAAAAAAATACTGCAAGGTTGTGGGGGGAGGTGCAGTGGGGCGGGGTAGAGGGACACCAGGCTCCCGCGGTTGCAGAGGCGGCAGGGAGGGGAGAGAGGTCCAGAGGTCTCCGACGCCAAGAACCTCCCAGGAGGTGATGCGCGGGGGAAGGGCCGGGGTGTGGACGAGGCCGCTCTGTCCTCGCACTCTCTGGCCCGATTTCTCCAGATCAGGCTGGTTCACCCCACTTTTCAGACGAGTAGATGAGTCAGACCACTATTGGCAGCGTGAGTCTGGGCCTCGATCCCGCCCCTTTGCCCCTGGAAGCTCTTTATGGCTCCAGGGAGGAGAAGACACCCCAGGAGGCCCCTCCAGACTTGGATCGCCGCCCCCCCCGCCCCAGGTCCTCTCCCGCGCGCCACCTTGGCCTGCGGGGCGCGGGCGCCCCCTTCCCGCGGAGCCAAGCCAGGAGCAGCGAGCCCCGGCGTGCCCCAGGGATGCCCAAGCACGACGCGGAAGCTCAGCCCAGCCCGGGGAACACCCAGCCCCGCGCGGTCCTGCACCCACGGGGTGGGCCCTGGCCCTCGCAGGGGTCTGAGGAATCGGTTTAGGGGTTTCATGTTCCCTCAGAGTACACCACCGTTTCCTGTAATTTAATTTTCTTTCCTGAAAGCGTTGCTAATTAAATCCTTTCTCCGGCTAGCCGTTGTCCCCCTCCCCTGCCCCTCTCTGTCAATTACCCAGCACGTTGCCAGGGAGTCCTGGCTCCTGCTGCCAGGCACGCCCAGGTGGATGGACCTCGCTGCTGGCTCTACTGGCCGCCTGCTCGGCTCCCTCCTCGGGTCTCACAGGGCCCTTTCCACCTGGACCTGGGGAGCAGCCCTTACCAGTCTGATTAAAAGCAGGAACAGCCCTTTTCCTGCCGCTGCTGGCTTGGAATCTATCAAAATCTAATTCATATGTCGTTTCACCTCCCCTGTCTTTCCAGCTCTGAAGTCATACTTAGTCTTCACTGCATTTTTCGCCTAAGCACTCTTCCTTCCTTCTCCCCCACTGACCACTGCACAAAACGCTAGGCAGAAGTTTGCCAGACAGCCCAGTGTCTGGTGGACATAATCCGGACTAGAAGTCAGCTTTCCTGAGGCTTACCCTCTCGGGGTCACAATTCAGAACCCTCCAGAGGCCCTCTGTGTTGCCCCTTTGGGGAGGTCATTCAGACCAAGTGTCCCATTGAGGGCTGAGAATATCCAGTTCTTGATAAGTCTAAGTCCAAAGAGGGTGTGGAGAAAGGAGAGCCCTCCAACCCTGTTGGTGTGAATGTAAATTGGTGCAGAAGCTATGGAAAATGGGAGGGAAGTCCCTTTAAAAACTATGGAGCTGCCCCACAATCCAGCAATTCCACTCCTAAGCACATACCTGGGAAAGGCAAAAACTCTAATTAAAAAACATACATGTACTGCAGTGTTCATAACAGCACTGTTTTACAATAGCCAAGACATGGAAACAATCTAAATGTACATTGACAGATGAATGAATAAAGAAGATGTGATACATATGTACATGGAGTAGTGCTCAACCATCGAAAAGAATGAAATGGTGCCATTTATAGCAACATGGATGCATCAGAGATTATCATACTAAGTGAAATAGGTCAAAGAGAAAGAGATGTCATATGATATCACTTATACGTGGAATAAAAAAAATGGTACAAATCAACTTATTTATAAAACAAATAGACTCACAGATATAGAAAACAAACTAGTCATTACTGAAGTGGACAGGAAGAGAGAGGGATAAATGAGGAATCTGCGATGAACAGATATGCACTGCCATATGTAAAATAAAGAACGACCTCCTGTTTATTTAGCACAGGGACCATTATCTTATAAAAACCTATAATGGGAAAGAATCTGAAAAAAAAAAAAATATATATGCACTGAGCGACTGAACTGAACTGAACTGGATGCATGCAACTGAATCATATATATAAATAAATATACATACAACTGAATCACTTTGCTGTATACCTGAAACACTGTGAATTACAGTAATAAAATAAACATTGCCTTCAGTTCAGTCTCTCAGTCGTGTCTGACTTTTTGCGACCCCGTGAACCACTGCACGCCAGGCCTCTGTCCATCACCAACTCCTGGAGTTTACGCAAACTCATGTCCATTGAGTTGGTGATGCCATCCAACCATCTCATCCTCTGTCATCGCCTTCTCCTCCCGCATTCAATCATTCCCAGCATCAGGGTCTTTTCCAATGAGTCAGTTCTTCGCATCAGGTGGCCAAAGTATTGGAGTTTCAGCTTCAGCATCAGTCCTTCCAATGAATATTCAGGACTGATTTCCTTTAGGATGGACTGGTTGGGTCTCCTTGCAGTCCAAGGGACTCTCAAGAGTCTTCTCCAACACCACAGTTCAAAAGCATCAATTCTTCAGTGCTTAGCTTTCTTTATAGTCCAACTCTCACATCCATACATGACTACTGGAAAAACCATAGCTTTGATTAGATGGACCTTTGTTGGCAAAGTAATGTCTCTGCTTTTTAATATGCTGTCTAGTTTGCATTTTTAAGCATTGCATATTTAACTGTTAAAAAAAAAAAAGAGTCCAATGTCCAATCATGACAGTGACTTGCCCGGGGTCACATAGGGACTCAGCATCAGAACTCCTGGGTACTCTGGACTCAGTGTGGTGATCTTTCCAAGATGCCACTTACTGGATAGGGGGGATATGTGAGGCCCCCACCCTGACTTCTGCCCATCCAAGGCCTACTTCTGCTTATGCAGGGTCCCCCTTCCCCTCAGAGCAGCACATGTCTTGGACACCACTCACCCTTCCTCTCTATCTAAAAACCCCCATTCAGGGATTTCCCTGGTGGTCCAGCGGCTAAGACTCTGCTCCCAATGGAGGGAGCCCAGGTTTGATCCCTGGTTGGGGAATTGGATACCAAATGCTGCAACTAAAGATCCTTCGTGCTACAACTAAGATACACTACAGCTGGAAAAAAAAAAAAGATAAAATCCCCCATTCAGGCCATGTCTGGCCCAACTATCAGGCAAAAAAAGAAAGCAGCTCAAGCCAATCCCAGAATTTGAAAGGAGGAGTTTGGCAGTGGTGGGGGGAGTGCTATTTTTTTTTTTTTAAGGAGATATTGGTGGTGGGGATTTCAGGCATCATGAGTGGGCCAGAAAGGGGCATTTGGGGATATGGACTCTGGGAAGGAGCCCGCACACAGGACTGCATCCCTTCTGGAAGCCTCCAGCCCCAGCTCTCAGCTCTCTCGGCTCAGGGTTCCAGGTCAGTGGCTGGCTTCCTGTCTGCTGAGCTTCAGGCTAACCCTACCTTCCGCGGGGAGGACGTTACCATGTGATCTCGCTTCACTGGCTGTCCTCTGGGCCCTCTGGAGGCTTCTTTCTTCCCATATGTTGTAGGTGAGCTTTAACACATGTGCTGCTTTCTCGTCGGAGCCCAGGCCTCCCCTGCTCTGGTCTCCGGGGGGTGGGTGTGAGAGATGCTGGGCTCAGCCTCCTGGCAGCGTCTGGTCCCCTCCTGCAGGCGCCACAACATTTCCTGGGAGAGCAGCAGCCCAGAGACAGCTCAGGCCTTTCCGGCTGGCTGGACATCATCCCTGAGCCCCGGAGGAGGGTCCCCAGCCTGCACTGTCCTCAGGCCTCCACAATCAGCCTCCAGAAGAAGCTGCTTCATCCAGGGCAACTTGCCATCATCATAGGTCTGGGAGGAACCAGATTCACCCCACTGGCTCTGAAGTCAGCCTGTTTCCATCAGCACGGTCACCTTAGGCAGCTGGCTGTCTGCTCTTGTGCAGACAGAGGCTGAGCCTCGGGCCTCTTTCTGTCCCTGCCAGGGCCTATTGCATAGTACGTGCTCAGTCGCTTCAGTCGTGTGCGACTCTGGTGGAGGCGTGGACTGTGGCCCACCAGGCTCCTCTGTCCATGGGATTCTCCAGGCAGGAATACTGGAGTGGGTTGCCATGCCCTTCTCCAGGGGATCTTCCCAACCCAGGAATCGAACCTGGGTCTCCTGAATGAAAGGCGGATTCTTTACCGTCCCAGCCACCAGGAAGTGCCTCCTAGTGCTGAATAAATGTGTTGGATGCCTCAATCAGTCAATGAATTAATGAGTAAAAACTCGACTCATCGTTACTTTTCAGCAGGGAATTTATTAGATATCTACAACAGTCCATGTAGAAAGACCACCTAGCGTCTGAGTTAGAAGGATAAACTCAGGAGCAGGCAGCCTGGGTTCAAATCCCAGCTCTGCCACACGTCTTTGGGCAAATTATATGACCTCTCTGTGCCTCTGTTTCTTTATCGGGAAAACAGAGGTAATAGTAAAGCACACCTCGAGGGGTTACCATGAGGAATAAACAGTGCGGGTGGCGTGTGAATATGATAAGGACCTGCCAGGTACAGAGTGCTCCGGAAGTGTTGGTCATCATCACTCACAGTAGGATTACTGCAGGAGCTGCGTCTGCACTAGGTGTGGGGGAATGCAGGGCAGCCCATCGTCTGCACTCCCACCTTCCGGCTTACAGTGGAGTTGGGAGACAAACCCACGCAGCAGGCAGGCAGGCAGAGCTGCCAAGTGGCGGGGAAGATGCCCTAGTGCTGGACTTCATACTCCGTGGCCGGTGGTGGGTCTGGGAGGGGCCCAGGCGGATGCAAGAGGCATGTGCTTGTGGGGCTGTCCACCAGGGGGCAGCGTGCCACACGGGCATGCGGGCCTGGCCAGTCAAGACCGGAGACTGCATCACGCAGTCTGCCCTGCGTTTCAGGGTTTTCAGCTTTCCAATTCTCCTCTACTCCCACAGGCCATCTTGGTAGAAACAGTTTCCCTCCAACCCCACTTGCTGAGTCTGGCTGGGGAGGAAAGAGGGATGGGGGAGCTCCCAGGGGCCCCTCTTTGGGCCCAGAAAGAGGTCCCAGTTGAGCTCTCCAGTGGCTTCGGGCTGAAACTCTCGGTGATGACCATGACCCCCTGCCTTGTGACTCCAACCTGGAGGACCCTGCTGATCTAGACATCAGTTTGTGCCTGATGCTCCCAAGTGGGACAGCCTGGACCTAGGAGGAGCCAAGGTTTTGTAAGAAGTGGTCAGAGGGAGGAGGCAGGGAGCACGTGCCCTCAAGACTAAAAATCTTCATCTGTGGCCTCACGTTGACTACTCATGATCCCATCCCTCATACGTGGAGACTTGAAATTCCCAGAAATCACCTGGCATCCCTCCTTCTGGATAGTCCTTCCCATCCGCACTTCCACCCACAGCCTTGCTTTTCTGCCCAACCAACTCCTATTCATCCTGTGTGACCCAGGTGTCACCTCCTCTGGGGAGTCTTCCAGCTTACCCATGGCCCAGTGAGTGCTCTCCTCTGGGCTTCCCTAGCACCTTGTCCCTCTCCCTCCCGTCTACGCTCTCATACCTCAGAACCACAACCATCTGTGACTTGTCGTCTTGCCGGTGAACTGCCCTAGATTAAGCAATCGGTCTCAGGCATCTTCGCCTGCCTGGTTCTTGGCATCTTGCCTGGCATCGAGTCGGCATCAGTGAAAGTTTAAGGAATGAGTGGAGGAGCTGGGCCTGCACC